CCCCAACACTCGAAATGGAAGTAAGCTCAACAATTATGAAACAAGAGATTCCTCATAACCCAACATTTCTTCGAAATTTGCGTAAACAAAGTCAAATAAAACTGTAAATAGGAGGACCAAAATTGTGTGGCCTTCTATTTGGTCGCAGTCTCCTTTAGCTTTATAGTGTTGGTTCGACCTTGTTTTCGCAATTTGGTCGGAGCGTCAGGGAGACCTTGTGGCATGTACCTAGTCCCGTGTCCTCTGCCATAGTATTTTTTGATTTCCAGCATTGGACCATTTACTGATAAATTGTACCTCTTTGCTTACAATGGCGCCTCTTACTGACGATGCCGACTACGGTGCCAGTGAAATGTTTGTGAATGTACTCAGCTAATGGCAGAGGACACGAGACTAGCTACGTTCTACAAGGTCTCCCTGGCGCTCCGACCAAGTTTCGCAAACAAGGTCGAACTAACAATACAAGGTTTAATAACTTTGCACATTTTTTAGCTACATTGTTCATGACTCATTCATGTGTTGCCATTGCAACCAAAGACGTTACTTAATTTCCATATGAATCGTTTCGAGGCTATTATTATTTTTCGAATAAGAAATTAATCATCCTAGGTCCCTTGGCGTGAGTTAAGTAGTAATATTTAAGTTTTTCTCCCTAACGGCCCGGGATCGGATCACGCAGGAGGTGCTGATGAGACCTAGGCGAAGTCGAGGCTACAGTCCAGCCTGGATGAGCTAGCCTTCAGAGAGGCAAGGTGGAATGGAATTCAATGACATCATGTAACCCTTTATTCTGTTTGTGGATAAAACTTAACAATCCCTTCTGAAGTTGTCTTCCGCGACCTAAGGTGACTAAGCTACTATTGTACAATCAGAGAAAGTATTGAAAACTATTTATAATGAAAATAAGGTGCCTTCAGCCCCGTATTTCTGACAATACGAGCAAGTTGAAAAAACGAGATAAAAACGAGATAAAAAGAGATAAAAACGAGATAAGAGGACTAAGCCCTCATCCGATTATTGCTGATAATTTCGAGATATTCGCTCTTTTTCTCCCTTTTCTCGCTTCACCCCTGCCTTTCTACACTCACCTCTTCAAGCACTTGATTGCTTTTTTTTCCTTTTTGCGTTCGGTTCCTGTCTCCTCTCTGGCAGCAAATTGTTTCGGACCTCAGGTCTTCTCTACTCTCATTTGGACTCTGTCGAGTGGGCGTCGGGCGCGAGCCTCTCCATTGCATCGCGCTCGGTCGGTTCAGGCAGTAAAATCCACGTGTCCGGCTCCAGTAGAAGTCGGATCGTCTGGCGTGCGGCTCCGGCAGGCCGAGGAAGCGCTGTACGCTGGCCACTGCTCGCCAAGGTTTGTGGGTCAACTCTTCGCCGGTCAGCACGAAGAGCTGCTCTGTCCGAGGGAAGTACCGCAGCCAAATTTCCAGCCAATCGGCGTAGTGGGAGACATCCAATGGTGCCCAGACAGTTCGCAACTGCTCAAGCGACTGGTTGGCCCGGAGGATAAACTCCTCGAAGTCCGGATACACTTGGCCGGCTTTAGCGTGGGCGACTTGGATCTGGAGGCAAGGCATGCGCTTTCACCTCGTTAGAACGCATAGGAAGAGACAGGATTAAGGGCAGAAATGACAGGAGTGGGGATTCCCTCCCCTACCGGCTGTCAGTGTTAAATCAGTGTTGTGGACACTTTGATTTTGTATGAAAGTGCATGATGAAGAGATTCCCAGGTCGATAGCAACAGAATACGACGGCTGTATCTCGTGTCTCTACAGCAGTTTAACTTTAATACAAAGTTCACTTTATTTTTCGCATAAAGTATTGTTTCGACACTACCAGTAACTCAGTAATATGAGTTGTATTCACCCTATTTCGTTTGAGGTGATGAAGGACTGGTAGAAGAATTTTCCCACAATGATATGAGTTGAGCTGACGTTTCTATTTAATTTCACATAGCCTTGCTATCCCAAAAGTTGTTCTCATCCAGACAGAAGTGGACTGCAGTTTCTACCTCGCTTTGGCCTTATCGACACCCTCAGCGGGAGTCGAACCGTGACAGTGCAGGATGGTAGCTTGACACGCTAACCACTCGGTTACATTGCCACGTGTACGCTTGAGTCACAGGGCGTAAGTGAATTTCAAAGAAGGTCAGGCCTTTTGCCATATCATATTATTTGGTGGGATTGTCGATGAAGCAAACGTATGTTTGGCTATAACAATCGACTACTATACTTCATTTTTCG